GGTGTAAACATTGACAACAATAATTGCATCCCATCTCCTCATGTGTGATCTTATTATTATTGATTATATTGCATAAGGTACACTCATAAACATTATTTAAAGAATATAGTTTGCATTTTTTATTAATTATATTGTTTTGGGGGAAAAGAGGGTAAAAAGCCACACAAAAGTTATGAAAAGGTCACACTTGGGAATGCATCTCAATATTATTGCTTTATTTTAATGGTAATTAATGATTCACGATACGATGTTTCACCTTGCACTGCAATATTGGAGGACACATTACCGTAGTTATTCGAGGCTTTACTGGACTTAAAAATTAAATTATCTTGAACACACTAACATGTTTCTCTAATTCTTATATCAATTTTCTAGTTCTACTCTGAAAAAAGGAAATTATTAAAATTGTGATTTTTACAAATACTAAAAGTATTGATTTTATTAACATCTCCATGTTGGTCTGTATAGTTACTGCAATAGGTAATGTATAATTGTTAATATGTTTAATTTTCTTTTCATTGCAATTTTATATTGCACATTTAGAATTTTGGCAAAAATATTGGCTGGTATCGGCCCATTTTTCACCTATATCGATACCTCCAGAAATAACCGATACTTTGACACACCTCTATGTCATACCCTTCCCATTACACCTGCTGTACACATTTGGAATACAGTGATGTTTTATAGTGAAATAGTTTTACAAGTGTCTGTAATATGTTTTTGTTGTTCACAGAAAATATTTGATAATTTCAAGTTCATCCAAATACAGTGATAGCAAAACATGCCTCACAAGGTTCATTATCATGGGAATTATCTGGGAAACGAGGAAACTGCTTCCTACCTCAAAGGATTATCAAGCAGTTACAATGAAAGTGATAATGAAAGTGATGGTTGCAAGGAAACAAATTGGAAAATAACAAGAATGGCAAGCAGCTTGTTGCCATATACAGTGTACTGTTGATGGTTTATTGGCCTATACAGTATGTTTATATAATATAAAAGGTACAGTACTTATAAATTTATTTACAAATTCATATACCCCTGTACATGTATATATAACTGAAAATAAGCATACTTAATAAAAATATGATTATATACATAAACAAAATGTAGAGAGAGAATGGCTAGGAGCATGACTTGGAAAAATGCCTGCCCACCAACTTCAAAAATCAATTACAGGAGCTCTCCTACTTACGAACATTCAAGTTACAAACTTTCAGAGATAAGAACAACCCTGTCTGTATGTCCAATTGCCTGTTTGAAAACCGCGCCAGGCCGTAAGTTCAACCGCCGCGCGATAGATGGCGTTGGCTGTTCGGCGTCACCCTGTATCCCTAGCGCCATTGTTGTTGTTGTGTTTCTCTGCTGCCTCACGGTGTTATTTGTGGTTTTGATAAATATTATTGACCCCAACATGTCTCAGAAGCGTAAGAGTGATGCCAGTGGTGATGGTGGTAGTAAGAAGCGTCACACTATTACTTTGAAAACTGAGGTGGACATTATAAACCATTGTGAAAGAAGTGAGAAAATGATAAGCATAGCAAATGCTCTTGGGATGAATCGTTCGACTGTTGGAACAATTTTGAAAGACAAAGAGCGCATTATGTAACATGTGAAAGGTTTTGTGCCAATGCATTCCACGATCATCAGTAAGAAAAGAGGCTCGGTGATCGCAGAGATGGAAAAACTTTTGAGTGTGTGGCTGGAAGACCAGCATCAGCATGCATGCTTATAAGCCTTAACTTAATTCAGTGGAATGACATAAGTCTCTTTGAAGACTTAAAGGCTAAACAGGAATAAAGTAAGTACAGTAACCTTATAAATACCTTTATTTATTATTACTATACTGTACATGCTATAATTACTATACATGCTATTTATACATTAAAATACCGTTTAAGGCTGGTAAGAAATACTGTCGAGTATTATTGGGGTATAGCTGAGCTGTCTGTACAACCTTATTTTACAATGCTGTATACAGTATTCAGTATTGACAAGAGTAAAGTTGGACTTACGAACAGACCTCAGGAACCTAACCAGTTCGTAAGTAGGGGAGCCCCTGTATTAAAACAAGTAAGACCTTTAAAATAAAAATAACCTACCACTATGGCTAACGTGTGATGGTATGGTGTAGAAATATATATTTGTGTTTATAAATATAGTGTATGTCTGTAAAGTACCAATTCCTTGTAGGCTTGACACGAAGAATCCTTTCTGGAATGTCTTGAAAATGTGAAAATGTTGCCGCATATCCCGTAGACTTGCGTGTGTCGCTCACAGGAGACACAGCTGATGCGAAGATCCCGGTGACTGGGTCAATGTCCACGAAAATCCTGAGTACAGCATAATGATGACACAAAACTCAAAAACCTTCGTGGTCGGAGAGATGTGTCATCACTAAGGGGGGTGCTGGTAACTGGGGGTTACTCAAGCCTTATGAAAGAATGTTGACTTGCGTCCTGTCACATCCCGGACGGTGAACAGGGGTGTTGCCACAATATGTAAAACTTATCAATAACTCAGTAATGGCTATTGATAAAAGAAAGTATCACTCAACAGAAAACTTCTCACGACGGTATATATCCACGTCCACTTTGAAAAAAAAAATATAAACTTCTGGGAAAAAAATGTCACAAAACAATATCTGTGATTGTTATTTTATATATATGTTCGTATATGGGTCCGTAGATAAGCTGTATGTAACTTCTTCGTTTATTATAGAAATATTTCTTATACCTACTGTATGCACTTTCAAAAAGGGTTTTACCGTAAATTACTCAATGTAACTATTGAGAGTTAAATAAAGACGGAGGCTACGTTAAAGAGCTCTGCTAAGTACATCTTGTTGATGAGATAGTTGGGTCCCTACTCACCTCACTCATCGAGGGAAGAATGGAAATATGTCCGACTTCCTCCCTCGAGGGAAGACGGAACCATCCACGATGGCTCTCAATAATGTCTTCCTCTAGTCACAGATATCAAACTACTGCCCGCAATAGGTGGCCAGAGAGCTGACTACTTAATGCTTAACTCGGCACCAAGTGACGTAACTTCCTGTGGGCACGCCTTATCACATGCTCTGAACATGCTACCTCATAGCTACGGTAGTGGAAAGTTACAGGGGGTGGTAGAGTATATAAGTCTAATATAATTAACTCATTTATAAAAATACTTCTGCCTATAAGACAGGGGCTAATACAACTTATAAGTGATCATTAAATCCTGAGTAGTTCTCCCAAGATGAAGAAACACATTGCATATAATGTAATATAGGTATGTGAAATGTATGAAATGGTTCAAATACAATAAAAGACTTGAAAAGGCAGAAAGGGAAACTTCTCGATTTTCATGCATAAAATTTTCTCCATATTTTATGGTTGTTTAGTGAAATATTGAAAGTTCCTTAAGAAATATAAATATATTTCATATTTTAAAATACATAAGGTAAAATTTGAAGTTTCACTCATGCAGCTAGAACCTTCTAGATACATGACACAATTGTAGCAAGAGTTGTTTACATATGTATGTAATTAGTTTTTTAGAAATCACCCTGAATTGTTCATGAGTACAAAAATGACCTCCTAGTGCATCAACGCGCACACTGTTTATCAAGAAACATTGAAGGTGTGTCATTTTAGTGTTGAAATTAGACATTATTAAACAACGGAGTGATTAAGGAACAACAGTTGAGGATCAACCATGATAGAGAGAATACGATATGCGAGCTCGTCATTAAATCGTTCATTACCACATCTTATATACAGGGTAATTATTTTTTCACTCTTACCATTATTAATTGCTTATAACATTGTTGAGTGGTAATAATAATGGGTGTAGATGGATGTGCTGGCTTGCTGATGCAGAGTGATAGTGGGAGGCCAGTTGATAATTGGCTGAGATGGCGATTATGCATACATCTTTCCTTTGTACAGTACTGTACATACTTTTTTCTTTTGCATGGTTCCTAGATTAAGATGAAATTGAAACCATTTGTGGACATCATGAGTTTTCTGATTCCAAGTTACTGTACCAACGATGATTGAGCATGGTTTAGGATGCGTGAATTCTACATGTTTTTCATTTATTTTTTTATTATTTCATACATGTAATATATTTGTTAAATATTAATATCACATTACTGTTCTTCACTATGCTATGTTTCAAATTTGTATAAAAAAAATTCCCTAACATTATGGGGCATTAGGCTATGTGTAGCTTAGGCTAATGTACCAACAATATATAATTATCATCATCATAAGGTTGTTGGATAAGAGAGGGCTGCCCTGTACAAGTAGTATCTCCATAAGTCCATCATAACGTTGAGAAAAAATAGTAAAGAGATTCTATTCTTTAAATAATATTTACATTATAAGAAGAGCAAGTTACAAAATGGATGGACATCTTTTCCTGAGATTAAGTCAAAGCTAATTAGATTATCTTGCTAATTGAAAAAAAAATAATCTCATTGTAAAGAAGTGTGTTTTGCTTTGAAAAAATATAACGTCTTCACTCTGTTTTTTGGAGCTGTGATCCTACTTCAGTAATGAGCTCCTGTCTGTTTCATATTTTTCCTTTACTAACCTCTTTCTCTTGCCATTCCACCTTCCAGTATATATCACGCACACACAACCCTCTTTCCCCTTCCCTAGATTTGGTCCAAATTGTGCATTTGAAAATTTAAAGTGTATTGTACTTGAGTTTTATTGAGAGGTGTGTTTCTACTTGGTCCATATATTATCTGTGCTTCTTGTGCCTCTCCCCATCCTCATTAACTGTTCAGTAAGCCATAGTAAGGGGAATACTGTATGTCATCTTCAGATAACTAATGTTTTATACAGGGTATTCAGTACTTAAATATCTTAAGTTTCATAATTTGTTTTTATTTGTATAATAGTAGTTAGTATACATTGATAAGTGTGAGAAAATGTTTTTGTGAATCAGAAGTAAATTTTCATTCATTTGTGTCTCATTGTTTCCCCCTAATCTGATTTTTACAGATGGATGAGGACCCAGTGCATGGATTCTCTCAGACGTTTGTTCTCAAGCCCATGAGTGATTCCTTCTTCATCCAACACGACTCTTTCCGTCTTGTCATTCATAATCACTAGACCATTGCTTGTTTGTAAGTCACACGACCATCAGTGTCAGCGTATGAATCATCCTCCCCAACTACAGCCACTCAATCAAATTAAGTTATAGCAATGTCTGCATCTGTGACACACAAGTACGAGTCAGAATTATAGTGTGTAGGATCCTACTTTGTGATGAGATAATTTAGCATGTACAAAACACACTCTAAGACTCTTAAGGGTGTGCAATGTAAACTTAAGAATGTACATTGAGGAAGATTCAATGTATTCATAAGGAAAGAGGTAGGGAATTATGCATTTTAAGTGTGAAATTGACTTTCAAGTAACTGTTGTCTCAGCTAACTTGAGAAATATCGTTGATATGTGGCAATATTTTCATTGAATGAAGGAAAATAACGAAAGCCGTATTTGATCTATGAATTGTTGTCAAAGGTTAGCTGCTGGTGTTGCAAGAAGTAACTACAAGGAAATCACATCGTGGATATTATAACTATGAACTTATACGCTTAAATAATGTCCCACAGAGGGGAACTTATTGCTTTTGTTATATGGTGCAGATGTAAGTTGGGAACAGCTGACCAAGATACATATTGGTGGCATATTCTTAGTTGTTTCAGTGATAATGTTAGTTTGGCTTGATATGCTGCTTCTAAGTTCTCATAAAATTTGTAACACTAGGGATAATGCCACTCTAGGCTAAGGATTGCCATTGTTGATTTTTTTTTTTTTTTTTTTTTTTTTTTTTTTTTTTAAATGCCACACTTGAAAAGGTTGTACTGTACCCAGATTCTTGTTGGAGAGAAAAGTATGAACCTCTGAATGGTTATGGTTACAGGTTCAAGGTGGCTAATCTCATCAGTACTAATGTCTCAACACAACCTATTTGCCTTGTTGATAGTAATAGATAAGTCCATCAGGCTAATGAATAGCTGGGATGTTATTACTCTAAAGTGATTATAAACATTGTTTTGAGCTTGTCCTTTTCCGTGATAGATGTTACATACATAAATTTTTGGCCTTGGATGTATGTTACAGTTAATTGGTACCACTGCTGCCCCACAGATTGCTCATTTGCCAGTTTTATCAAACTTTTAAGGTTTAATGCTTCAGCAGTGCTACACATGTTAATAATTAATATGAATTGGGTTGATCACCTTTATTTTATTTATTATAATTTTTTTTTATTAAGGAATAGCCTCTTGGTTATAACTTGTGATTCGGTTTACTAATTGGCTAAAACCATAAAATGTTTGTAAATGTAAGGGTAGTGTTTTAGCTCCTATGTACATGTGAGACAAAACTGCTATTATGATGCATCCAGGTCATCCTGAGGGTGGGTAGGTGGTCACATGAACATGAATTGATGGCTGTAGATTTGGATGTTGTTGTTAACTTCATTTGTGTTGGTTCATTAACAACAGCTCTTGAGAATACATTTCCATTGATTTGATAGATTTTTGTGTGTGTGCATCAAAATGAAGCAGGTTCATATAATTTGTTGCTGTACCAGTAAGGTGCACTCTTATTTATCCTTTTGTGTAACATAGTGCAGATTTTATTTATTGCTTCAATAATATATTTTTGTCTCTGAGTTTGTGATAAGAAATGTAACCTCTTCCTAGTCCAAAGGCTTGGGGTTGGTAACCACACCTGTAATCAGTTAACAAGACGAGAACAAATATGAAGACTGTTTGGTCTCTTGAATCATTGTGACGCATCTCAGCTTTTTTAATTGGAGTCAATGGGAAAAATGGTTTTGCATTATATATATATATATATATATATATATATATATATATATATATATATATATATATATATATATATATATATATATATATATATATATATATATATATATATATATATATATATATATATTATGTATGTGTGTGTGTGTGTTTTATTTTATTTTATTTTATTTTATTTTATTTTATATATATTTGGGGCGGGGGGCAAAAATGTAATGCAAGCACATATATGAATGAAAATAACAGTTTTAAGCACATACTGGCCCATTTTTTTAAACATTCAGTGCAGCAAGTCCGAAGGGGAATCCTCAAATATTGTAGTGTAACAGCTTTGATGAATCCATTTCTTGGGTCACTTTAAACTGACCTGATGTTCGGGATTCCTCTGCGAACTTACTGCCCTAGATGTTTAAAAAAAAATGGCCGAGTGTGATTCACTCATGATGTAACATGAATTTAATTAACCAGAAATGATGTTGAGTGGTGAATGAGGTGAGGTGGTGCAATTTGAGTTACTGGAAGTTATCTCCTTAAAACATCGTGTTTAATGTCCAACTTAATTCCTTTATGGAATATTTTAGGGCCATTGCTTTCACTTGAACTTGATGGTTTTTCCACTCATTAATCTTGAATAAGGTACACAGTAACACTGACGCAAAACTGAACGCAAGCTAGAGAACGAATTCAAACTGAGCAGTGCCATTGTTGTTGAGCTGGCTGCTGGCTACTACCAAAATCCACGCATAATAAATTGTATAATTTCGGTGACCTTTTTTGTTCTATATCGCAATTTTTATGTTTGAAGATTAAGAAGAAATTACCCAAAATTCCATACAGGCGAGTTTTTGTCCTTATTGTGAATTTTTGGGGCCACTTTCAAAATTCTGTTACCTCTAATTTCTGTAATCTGGGTTTCCATATTGCAAGGGATGCCTGTATTTCCTCAGGATTGGAGCCTTATCTGAGTTGGGAACAGATATGTACAAGTAATTCTCGATAAACATGGGATTAGGTTCCTGAAAACCCTATCGCTAAGTGAAATATCATAGATCAAGATCATTATAACATGGGGTTCAATGGGATATGTTTCCAGCCAGGCTCCAAACACATGTGTAACCGACCAAATAATTCCTACACTCATAAAATCAACAGAAAACAATTAAACAACACTCGCCACATCATGAAGAACAAGCCTGGTCATCACATGTCCCCTTCGAGGCTAAGGGGACTTGTAGGTGGAGTGGAGATGTTACTCTGACACCTCCCCCGCCAGGTATTATTAACCTGTATGTCTTGCTTAACAGACAAAAATACAGAGTGAAAATATTATTACCTGCAGTGTACTCTGTTTCACTTTACAGAGCAAAAGCATTTAATTGTAAGAAAAAAAGTGATGACAACATAATGGTAGTGGCTGACACAGATCACCTGTTCACAAAAACAGAGGCAAAGCACTTTACAGTCACCCAAAAAAATAATAAAGAAAATATCACTTCACAGTCACTGTAACTGTTTACTCTACATGCTAGTGCTGTCTTCTCACTATAAGAAAAAAAAACACTGATGATAAGTACTATGTACACTCGGTAAAAAACTACCGCTACAATTCATGCGCGAAACAAACTAACTGACATTACAAACGAAGTGTTTCAAAATTGCCCATGAGGCATTCCTCGCATTGGTAGCCCTGCGCGTGTATGGGTTCGGCCACAAGTGATCGGTACTCTGAAACGAGTCGGATTAATGGTGCTGCCACACAAACACAATTTGAAACTTGATCGGAACTCTATGCCTCATTTCTCCGTGTCGAATACACATTGTGAGCGGTGTTGTAGCAGCCTAATGTTGTGATAACGTAATTAGTACTACCAACGTTTCCTGATATCTTACGTAAAAAATGTGTATTTTTTATGAACTTTGGAGCTATTCAGATGTTTTGGAACAGCATGGTATATTTTCCAATGCGAATAAAGAATGACATAATGTGGCATTAGCCCAAAGTGAAGTAGCAATACAATTACAGATTCGAAATTCGGTTGCAAAATAATCTTGCACCTTTACTATATCCACTAATTCTGCCAAACATATAATGCATTCCTATATGGCAACTCATCCACTTCCATGGTTACTGTAGTCTGCAGTGTGTGAAACATTTAATATAACATAGTTTAACTTATCTAGATATACTGACAATCCCCAGTCATATTGTAACAAAGTAATTCAATATTGTCAATGAAATAGCTAATTTCGGCCTACCAAATTAAGTACGAAATGTCTCGCATTCAGGCCTACCAACCTTCACGAGACAACGGAAATGTTCAGTTGGAAAATCATCGGACCCCACTTGTACAGTATAGTTTATATATATATATATATATATATATATATATATATATATATATATATATATATATATATATATATATATATATATATATATATATATATATATATATATATATATATATATATATATATATATATATATATATATCAGTGGCGTGTCGTGAGAAAAATGCTAGGGTAAGCAAATGACGCTTTCTTACTTGTAAAGTCACGAGATCTAAAAGAATTCTTTAGTAGATCACATACAGACTGTATATATATATACACACACACACACACTGAGTATACATATCGCCAACGATACTGACCGATGATCATGGAACTACTCAATGACAGACAAATGCGATCAATAAAGAACCAAGCGTAGGTTAGCCATGTGGGGGCACGCGGGTGGATATTGCCGTGGCTGATAAGTGCAGCCGATGGTGGTGCATAGGGTTTAATATTGTTTTCTTATAAAACGTCACTGACTTGACAGAAAAAATACTTTGCATTACTAGAATCCTTGTAAGACAACGATTAATTTGAGTAAAGTATATACAATCCACAGTTGGCACAAGAGATACCCGGTAAAGAAAAAATCAAACCGATGGATATCATTAAAGTGACTTTTTTGATCGTATAGAGCAGTGGTTTTTAACCTTTTTCATCTCGCGGCACAGTGAGCCAGGCACTAAAATGGTCGAGGCACATCATCAGTATTTAAGGATAGATTTGATCGGCGGATCTACATTACGGAATTAAGGAGAGAACTGCCATTTGGGCTTTTAATGAACAACACATTTGTTTATTTATTGCATCATTGACCAGTTATGTCAAAACGTATCCAAATGCTATTTAAACTCCCGCGGCACACCTACGGATGCTTCGCTGCACACTGATGTGACACGGCACATTGGTTGAAAATTGCTGGTATTTAGTGAGATGGTCTTAATTCATAACCATCGTAAAAGAAAATATCGCTGAATGGGACATCGTTTATCGAGGTTTACCTGTACCTCTCACTTTTATCAATCTTATTTACCTTATTCCCCCTTTTCATCCTTACAATGCTTATAGTGGAGACAAGTTCACTTAGTAAAAATTTATAGTTTGATACATTGTTTGTTAAAAGGAATTTTTCAATGTGATTCAATATGTTTTGATCCAAGGCACCTGAACATGAAGGTGCCCCATATAAGGTCACCAGTTGGACCATTATTGGTCATTCAATGTCATATGTCACAGACAACAACGGACTGTGCTACAGAGGCCGTACAATACAGTATTGGTGTCAAATGAAAGCTCTTTTCAAGTTAAAGTACTTTTATTTCAGGGATTAAAGTTGTGGGGTCAACCATGTGCCCTGTACAGTACATGTGATTATAGTTCAGAAATCAAAATAAACTAAAAATGAGCAGAGTTACTACATTACATCATGTATTCACACATTTTTTAAAACCATCAGTAGCTTGGTACAGTATTAATGAAAAAAAAATATTCCAGGTCTGTGTGGGTAATTGAGATGGAATTCTCAACCAGGACTCCACTAGAGTCACCAATCGTTTCTCTCTCCTGGACCCTGTCAAACAAAACTGAAATTGAAATTCCAAATCCCTGCATATATTTTATTATTATTATTTTTTTTTAATCCCTGGTTGATCTTAAATGACTTGAATGTCACAGGGTAGACCCCACCACTTTATACCTCAAAATAAAAGTGATTTATCATGAAAACGGCTTTCATTTGATACCAATACTGTGCGGCCTCTGTAGTACCTTCCGTTGTTTTGTTTATGACATCGTCTTGAATGATCTCTAAAAGTCCAATTGGTGATCTTATTTGGGGTAAAATTTTGGGGGTGCCTTCGGATTTGGGTTCCTTGGGTCAAAATCTAAGGATTACTTTGAAAACTCACGTCACAAACAGTGTAACAAACTATGGTGTTTCTGACCCCACTATTAGTGCTTTATTCTAAAATTTTATCAGCAATCCCTGAGGGTAGCTATTTTTTTTTAATGAACTATTATATATACAAATTCTTCTTCCAGGAATTCTCACTGCATACCTATCCTACATGCCCTTAAGGAAGATGTTACAGGAAGACTGATGCCACACCAACATCTAAAGTACTGTACTCCCCAGCAACTCATAAGCTTATAAAAGCTATATTACAACATTTTCTACTCTAATAAAATTCCATACAAATACTTTCACTGTCATTTTGTTAGACTATAGGGGGACAGACAAGGAAGTCTTACTTTTGCTTTTTATGAGTAATGTTTTAAAGATGCCGCACAGCCTCTTATTTCTCTTCAATATCCCCACTAAATTCATATACTGCACTGTACAAGAAATGTTAGTTGTATAGGTATATAAGATTAATGGGGAAACACTAGGATGGTTATGAATAGATCCTAGATGTTCAAGCAGAATATCCACTTGTCATGGATCACACACACACACACACACACACACACATACATTTGAGACACATCAGCACATTATGCAACATTATTAAAAACAAAGATGGGTAAAATTTAAATTCTGTATATATGTTTGTGTTTACAGTACAGTAGATATAAAAAAATTGTATTTGTGATATTGCAAATGCATTCACACATGTACAGGGGTGCCCATGATTGGTCATAAACACTGTAATTTTGGTTTAATTAAAGTAGTCATTCACAAATTCTAGATCAG